ATGCCCATTGATTGGCTCATTTTTGCTGGGGTTTACATATTGTGACGGCAGAGAAAGGGACAGAGACAGATATGTCATATTCAGATGTTCGTTCATTGGTTCATTTTTGCCAGGGTTTCATATTGTGACAAAAGGGAACTATGATACAAAAGAGAAAGAACACCAGAACACTCGGCAATCTGATTAATACTCGTGGGCTACGCCCCCTCGTACAAATCAGATAGCCTCGTGTTTCGGTGCTCTTTCTATTACATATTATGCGTCAAGACCTGCTAAGTATTATGTTTAATATATACATTAGTATATACGCAAAAAAAGTTCGTACATATGTAACTGGCGAATGAGAATTTAAATATTTCAAACAGGGTACTATCTTGTAACGTGTGTTTATCATTCAACTGCTTTCAAAATGGTTTAAAATTTACATGATGGTTCCGTTCATCGCCATTATAACTAATGAAAGTCAGTGGGATTTTCTTCCTTTTATTTTGAGTTGTCTGGTATGCGTTTTATCATTACCTGCTGCCTATAATTTACATCTATTAGTGTTTGTTGCTTTTTTCTCTTAATTATTAAGATTTTTAAGCGTTCTTCTCAAATGCTTGCTGTTTGTATGAAAATGTTGTTTGAATATTTTCTGTTCTCTAAAGAGCAAATGGTGAATGCACACGATATTACTTAACAGTAAAAAGTCCTATTTGAAATAGCATCAATTTGTGTTGCAGACCAGACTATTTACTTTTATATAAAAAATATGCGACTGTGTCAAATAGTAACGTTTTTTTCGATTATCGACCATAATTATTTTAAATTTTATGATTTTACTCTAACAGATTTATCAAATATTTCATAAGATACAGCTTAATATTCTTTAATGTACAAGTAAATAATCTATCGAATATAGAAAGTCTAACATTATCGTCTAAACGTATTTTCTTTGAAACATACATTTTAACAGTACAATATCATTTGAAATAAAACCAAATTTAATTTTATAGAACGCGTACTACTCTTATTTGATCGGTAAACTATATATGTAAGAGGGATTCACTGTGAGTATATTAAAACTAAGGTCAAGTGGAGTTCTTTCCCTTTTATAATTTCTTATACCTTATTGTATCAGCTAATGCTTCACTGAATACGAGCGTACTAATTTCCTTGTACATTTATTAATGGAATTTCCACACAGGGCATTCTTCAGCCTACCCGTCCCTGTCACAGTATAAAAATGGGAACGTTGATGGCAATTAAAGGTAAACTCCTTTTTCAGTAATTATAAATGGTTAATATTTTATTTCAAGTGCATACAGCTATTATTAAACTTTAGTCACTAAAAATACATACATGAAAAAAATATAAGGATACATGCAATTTTAAAATGAGAAATTTTAACTTATTAAGAACATCTTATATTGTAAAATTACAATTAAGTTAAGACGAAAACAGAAAGTTAATGAGGGAAATGAAAATAGTTTAATGCCTTTTTTTGTATGCGTATAGATTTTTGAATCCCAACAGTTCAATAATTATAGTTCTAACTTGATAACAAATATTCGGAAACACGGAGACACCCGTCATATTTCAACCTAAAGACTCTATGTCGTATAAATAAACATCATTATTCACCAAATGGGTTGCCAGGCATCGGTCTTGTATAAAACTTTTGACAAAACAGTTGATCAGATTCTAAACTTTTTTATACAGATTTAAAATAAAATTTTCACAAAAAATATTTAATTCTTGAGGTCATTGCGTTTTGTTTGTCCCTTCTCTGCGATAATGCAAAACTGAATTGGAACAAAACGTCAATTATGTGTCAATATTATACAAATTAATGTATTAAAATGCTGTTCATTCAACATACAAAACAAGTTTTAATGAATAATTACTTCAATTCAAACAATTCTCGAATGCAATTTGAATTATTGTTGCCTGTACTTAAACTAGGTTACTGCTTTGTTAACGTGAGAGTTATAAACACCAAATGAATTAATGATTTGCTTGTGCATAGCTAGTGTTTGCAATTATAACTTAACAGATTATCTTACAGAGATCAGCAAAAGTCTCGTCATTTCATCGATTTACATAACGATTATTTGGCAGATTAGTTGAATATATACGATACAATAACAACCACTTTCTATAATTAATTTCAAAGGTAAACGTCAATGTTTTTTATATTGCATGGTTTGTGAATAAGTTTACAGACAATGAATTTATCGAATCAATATATTTGACGATTGTCCTCATCGAAAAACATGACTTGTGGTTAAGCTATTCTGCCAATGATACATTTGAATTGAAAGTTTTATTATTGTTGCTATAATAAGTAATTAATAATTAATTTTACTTCTTGCCATATGTTATTTGTTACTGACGTCTTCTTTTTCTACCTCTACTCTAAATCACTTTTAGAAGTTTGTTCCTCTTCTCTTTCTTTTTTATTCCACCCTTCTTGTTGTTTGCTTCCTTTTCCTCCTTTTATTTAGCTTTTATTCTTTTTCCTTTTTTGTCCCCAGAATCAATTATTTCTTATTTCTTTTTGTTTTTTACCTTTAAACTGCAGCTTGCTATATTATTCCACTTTATACAAACAAAAGTTAAGAAAAGATCGCACAATATTTCAATGTCTCAGATGAAAATGCCAAATTATATAAAAGTACAATTAAACTCCTATACATTTCGATACTGTTTTTTTTTTTTTTTTTGAAAACATATGTTTGACACTGTTCGTACATGTTATTTATAGTAAAAAGGAAACCATTGTAGATTTACTGAATAGTATTGCTGAGAAAACGTTCAAGTTAAGAAAAATGTATCATATCGGGATGTATCATTACCTTATGTTGAATTTTTCCATACGTCATTGCTTTAAAGACCTTTCTCAATAATCTTTATATATTTTAGAAAATTAACCTTTTTGTGAACGATCTACTGCTGCTAGTGTTAGGACATATTTCTCTTATTGGATTTTCATTCGATCGACCTTATTGTAATAATTCTAAGATATTCTTCAATAAATAATATTATATTCGCTTGTTTATCATTCTGCAGTAAATGCTTAAGCATGTTTTTTTAGCCGATAAATGACGCCTTTATTAATGTAACTTAATTTTCCATGCGTGTGCTTTCGCGATATGTTCAGGACTTATCAATTCCATATTATAATGATTGATTACAATATATAAATTTAACAAATATGCAAATTCGCTTGGATTATCATTATTGTAATTATTTTCATATTGTTGATAGAATGTTTAATTGGTTTTGCATTTATACGCTGATTGTGTCGTCAGTATCACATAATTTAGCATTAAATCACAAAGGAATCACCGTTGGTAAGTTCTTTAAATCTTTCTATGACAATGATCAGTCATGTTATCGTACTTGTATTATTACTACATTATTGTCCTTAACTTGATTAACATTTGTAAGGGATTAGCCAGACTCTGAGTTTATAAAACGTCCATTTATTGCTAAGGTATTTTCGACATAGTGAGATAAATAAATAAATTACACCATATTTGGCTATACTGAATATATGTACCTGCTTGCCTGTCTCTATGTTGGATACAAAGGTTGTTCACTGTCTGTTAGGTTAATGGCTAACAAATAGCCTAATATGTCTCTTGTAAACATATAATATTAAGTCAATATCTTTATAACTTTATTATCGACCGGTCGCATTTAAAACTCCACTCCAATTACTTTGGTTACACATTAAATTAATGTACAATAATAGTGATATCACATTCATTTTACTATCCATTTCAGATTTATTAATATAAATAACACATAGATTAATATTGTGAAAGAGAGTCTTGTATTACATTGTGTGGTTATAAGAGAGGCTAATTGTCTGGAACTTGAGAGAAACATCCCCGACAATGTTTTCATGAATTATGTATTGAAATGTGAAATCTTTCCATGTTTGCATATTAAAAGATGTACTTGGCTCAAATTTGCTATACAAATATGTTGATATTTACAACTCAGGCTCTTCGTTAATATAAAAATAAACATGTTTTAACTTCAAACAAAGTGAAAATGTCATGTTTTGAATTCTACACACTATAGGTGGTCACAGTATGAATATAAATATAGCTTATTTAAGTAAAGATCAGCTGTCTTTGTCATATTATTGGGAACGTAGCTTCCTATTTATAAAGTATTTATTCTTTTTTATTCAATTTAAGCGTATAAAGCAGGAATTACATGAATTTCAATACAGTTCTTTTATTTAAATATTTTCTCAAGGAGAAGCACAGTACATCTTTAATGTTAACTTTGTAAAAAGTTTATTCCGTATATACTTAGGACTATTAGGCTGAGTGTGTAGTGCTAGTTCATATATTGTATGTTCATTGTTTTGTATGTCACGGTAATGAAGTATGTAATTTTTTATTATTATCATTATTATTATTATTATAATTACTATTATTATCATTATTATTATTAGTGTTATTATTATTATTATTATTATTATTATTATTATTATTATTATTATCATTAAGATGAAATTCATCAGTGTTTCCTGTCATGTCCGTCTTCATTTAGTTTAAACATATTTATTCCCGAAAGTATATATAATGTACATACAAATATATAACAAACAAAACATTTTTAAACAATGGAAAAAGATGAGAATGAAAGACAAGTCTTAAAATATTTTTCTCCTTTGGCGAACTATATGTTTGTCTTAAATAAGTTTATAGTTAGTATGTACTAGACAAGGGAATAAGTATTAACTATACACACGTAAAGCTCTATATTTATATATAAACTTATATAGAATAGATTAACTGCAAGTAGATGTCTAAAATGTAAGAGTATGTATAATAAAAGAAGAAAACAAAATAGTGGGAAAGAGAAGAAAGAGGGTGAGAGAGGATTATAGTCTCAATCAGAATGGATCTAAGTAAATCTTTTCGTTTTTTCTATATAATTTTGTACATTGTAAATATATTAACGTTGTCCTGGTATGTAAGCGATGGGTCACCATGGAGAAGTTTGTGAAGGTTTATGCTGAAGTCTTGCAAGTTAAGGAGGAGTGTTCTGCGGACGGCATCGTATGTACAGAACTCGAAAAAGAAATGTTGGGTAGTTTCGATTTGCCCACAATTACACAAAGGGGTAAGAGACCTGTTTTTTAAAAACAGGTGGTGATTTAATGCGCGGCAGTTTGTTCGAAGCCGAGTGTGAAGGACCTGCAGTTTACGATTACCTGTATCAAAGTATATTGGTGCATATATTCTGTCCTTGTTTAAGAAGGTTTTAAATGAAGATATTGTAGGGCTGTTTCGTATTATAACAGGCAAGTTGCTTCAGTTACGAATAACTGATGGCAAGAAAGAATGGTGGATACAGAGTAGTATTTGATGTAATTCCTCCGATATCTTCAGAGTTTCGTAAGCTGTATCGGGATTGATCTTGATTTGGTATTAATGATGAGAGATAATGTGGTGTGCTGTTCGACTGCATATTGTGAAACATAATTAGTTTGTGTTTATATCTTCTTTCGGATAGCGATTCCCAATTTATTTCTTTCTGCAGAGTTTCTAGTGAGATAAGCTTGGTTGCACCAGTTGCAATACGTGCACACTCATTTTGAATCTTCAAGCTGTTCGAGTTCATATTGGGTACAATTACACCAAATTACATCACCGTATTCCAAAATAGGTCTAATGAATGCGATATAGATAATTTCCAAAGATTTACGATCCAGAGAGAATTTCCGTCTTCATTTAACACATCAGTTGTTGTTTTGTTTAACCTTGTCCAAAAAATTAATATGCGTAATTATATACGTTATAGAAGACAAATAATAGCATATGACACGGGCAGACTTTAATGGAGTAAGGTTTTATTGAATTTTATAATTATTATACATATTTTGCATGGCTGTGCCTTGAAAATTGCCTTTATTTTCAGGAATAATAACAAATGGAAATGGAACGATCAAGAAAGAAGTATTAGTTAAACATGACCAGGAACTTATGCTTGTTAAATATCTTATAAATACAAAGGAAATCTCGAACTTGGTGTATGCAGGTATCCGTATAATATATATACATATATATTTTTAAGTTTGTTTACTGTGCAAACGATTTTTTATATTAATGAAAATGACATTGTCCGTTGTTATTAATTCTTGCACATGCATTTATGGTCTATTGATATGCAGCATTGTCACAAACATAAACATGTTCTCGTAAATGTAAACCAAGTCAACCAGTGAGTATCTAAAATCTATATGTTGCGGTTGGATAGCCAGGCAGCCAACTTACATGCCACTTCTATCATTGGAAACGTCGTTTTAAATTTGCTTTTTCATGTAAACTACTTTATACAATTCCCACTCGTGTAATAGTTTACACTACAGAGCTACTATTTCAGCACATGACACATTAAAATAATTGTGTAACAACAAAAATGTCAATGTGTATACATTGGTCCTCTTGATATTTTTGAATTGGAAACAGGTCAAATAAATTGATAGCATTGCTCTTTTTCATTTCATATATATAGTCCGTTTTTTTTAATCAAATGTAAACCAAGTCAACCAGTGAGTATCTATTATCTATATATTGCGGTTGGATAGCCAGGCAGCCACTTACATGACCAGGAACTTAATAAATCAATAACAACGGACAATGTCACATTTTCTTAATATAAGAAGTCGCTTGCACAGTAAGTTGTATGTAACCGCAAAAATTGAAAGTATGGCGATGAACATGTTAATGTTTATATGGTTATAAAAATAATTGAAATGAATTGAACTAATGTTGACCGACTTCTTTTCCCACATGATTTCTGAATCAGTAGAGACAGATAATTGACCATTAGACTTAATGTCTAAAAATAATTATTGTCAAAGTCAAATTACACTCCGCCGGGTTATTGTAAATGCACCAACGACTCCTATATTTCTATTGTTCAATAAACTAAGAAAGATATGACATACTGATACGACAATTGCAATTGTTCCAGTTCGAAAGTTGGACGGTGACACAGATGTTGATGTTATCTTGCTACTCGACTACGACACATCGATTCTAAAGATGGCACATATTTTGACTACAAACAATAAAAGACTTATTAAAATGGGAGCCAATTTCATTGACCGACAAATGGTAATACTTCAAACTGTTATACTATTAATCGATCTTTTAAGTTTACGTTTCAAATTAAAAGTAAAAAAATGGACTTTTACTTTTCAGAAATGAATTATGTATTTTTCTGTGAATAATTAATTACTTCGTAATTATCTACATTGATGATTTAAACAAGTGCATGTCAATTTTATGCAAACATATATTAAGACAAGTACATGGTCATTCTTATCTCTGCATGTCTGTTTCACTGTCAGGAATATTTACCTCCTAGTAAGTGTAAGGATGGTAACCGTTGCTGGTTCCACCTGAATTATCAGAAAGAAATTTCTATAAATTCGTCTCATTTCCTTCCCTACTGGTAATTTGATGCATTATCTACGAGATAAAATCGACGTCAAATTTATTATGCAAGTAAGCAAGCAATAATTGATAGGAAAGACAGACTCTTTGAATATCAATAACCCCCACCTTCTTGCTCATTTGAATGGTTCAAAACAAAAAAAGTCAGGAAAAAAAAGAAAGAAGAAAGAAAACCAACCAACTCATAGCCGAAGAAACACGTCAGTTCATCTAGTTTACCATCACACAAATTATTTTCTTTTGTAAATGTATTTGTCATTGTCATGCTGGTAATGTAATGTTAATGATATGCTATTTATCTATAATATAGAGTTTGGAAAACAAGCAGAAGAAATCTGTTGAGATGAATAGCTGTAAGATAAGCAACAAAGATGTAAAAAGTGATGTTTACTGTATGTTTGACATTAATGGGACGTCGATTGACAGGTTTTGATCACATGTTTTACTTTCTGCTTATTTTCTGATCAGATAGCCGTACAATATTGTAATGATTTATTGGCCTTTAATCTAATATTAAACAGAAATTCGCAAAGCCGCCTTATATGTTATATATGTGGATACAAAACATTGTAAATAGTGAATTGAAATGAACATAATTTACGTTTCAATACTTTAAAAAATAACGTTATCTAAAAACGATTGAATTGCAGTTGAATTTATATATAGTAGTTTGAAACACTACATTAATTTCGTACAGAATTAAAACTTAACAGCACACAATCTTTACTTTTGGTGCATCGTGTAAACTTTAAATGCACATTATGCCCAAAGAAACAAATACTTTTAAAAGGGCAAACTTAATGCCTATCATGTTTACATCATGGTTCAGAGCATCTTAGATTCTTCTTACCTGACGACAATAGAAATAAATGTGAGATAATTTGCCATTAAAGTGAGATAATTTGTCATAAAAGTAGCAAAATGTGAAAAATATAGTGTGTTGACATCCAAACATAATCACTATAACTCTACTTGTCGCCAAAGAAGCAAAAGCTGAAAAAAATGGTTTAGATAAATTACCAATGATATTGTTATTTTGAATTTGGATACTAAAAAAAGAATACCATAATAAAATAATTAAAAATTAACGTGTTTCTCATGCATAATGTGCCTTTTATGTTAATAAGTCGCATATGATTTGGAAGAACCTTTCAGACACTAAAATTTCATACTGTTTACCTTGTTTTTTTTCACACTCGTTAGAGATCAATTCCTGCTCTCCCTACCAGGCACAAAGGCTATTCGAAACCTTGTTAAGTCTTTTAAATGGAAACGAGTCATCATTTTCTATGAAACATCAACAGGTATGTGTGCTTTTGTTTAACAATTGTAATCCGGCATATATTTTTTAATAATAAACTGTAAAGCGAATCGTGTTTTCTTCTGTATATACTTCAATTATTTATGTTTTAAATACGATTTTATTTTCTTTAAACAATGCACTATAAGGTGTAAAGAATTGTGTTATTGCTTTGCAATAAGAACCAATGGCATATACATGACGGTTGTTACCTGACACATCAAATTATAAGAAAATAATGTAGTAATTAGGTATATCCTTACATGTTTTTCTTCTCTCTAATAACAATTATGTCTATTTGAAGTATGACTATTTTCTTCAAATCATACGTTAGTTAAACAGAATTAGTATATTGCTTTGAAGTAGCAGTTAGTTATAGATACTGGAAGGTCGTTACTTGTCATATGATATTCAACAAAGACAACTCTGCACTAATAAGGTTAATCTCGTATCACTGTACACAGAGGATGAAATGACTGCGCTTGTTGATGGTTTGTCGCTTGACAGAGTTATGTTTGCACTGTTCAATATCGAGCATGTCGAAAATCTGCACAGTATTCTACAACAAATATACACATCCAGTATGAAAAGTGACCGAGGAATAAACGTCATAGTTGTATGTAGGTACGAATGCACGGGACATATAATGAACACGGTAAGTAATTTCATAATCACTCGGGAATTGTTTTTATCGCAAGTCAATAGTTATCATAGAACTTAATTCCGGGACATAGTGAAGACTTTGTCTTTTATTTATGTTTACCCTGTGACATAAGTGAGAAGATAACATTTCGGGTTGATGCCCTAACCTGTGATTTTGAAATAGATTCAAACTATTTTGTTCCAAATTAAAACCACTGCGTTGGCGCATTTACGGTTTTGGCGGCCTTCATGATAACAAATGCATTAATAGATAATCTTCTAATAGAGTTTTCTTTGAAAACTCGCTGAAGGTAAATACTTGTTAATAAGGAATGTGACGTACAATATGTTCTAGACATTGTGTTGAATATGATGAAGACGGAAGCTCTTAAATCAACGCTGTAACAATAGTATAACGCAATTCAAATATAATGCAAATTACATAGCACCACTAAACAAAAGAGAATTGTTTGTAGAACTACATTTATATGTTATTCAAAAGAACATTAGAAGTAAAATATAGTATCTATAAGTAGGAGTTACTTATTTTATTTCACAGGCAAATAGGTTCGACTCGGTAAACAGTAATAAAACTTTGTTAAAGAAGTTTGCGAAATGGTTGATATTGTTGTATGGTCAGAGGAGAGGATCAATTCAGGCACTACAGAAATGCTCCAACGACCTTGACAACGTTGCCGTTATCTCAATCCCAGAGTTCAGTAAGATAAATATAAAGGTATATGAAGAATTGTACCTTTCTTAATTTCGACTTGTAATTGATTAAGATTGTCCTAATAACTTTGTTAATTGCAATTTCTTTTTATTAAATACATACTACTCTGATCCCTTCTAGTCGTAGAATGTTTTAAATTAGACTCACTCATTTTTCTGATCTATGTTTCTACATATCGTTTTATTATTGTAGATGATGTATGGTCTTATAGAATCATCACTCTTAGACGCCCTTAAGGAGCAACTGACAATCAAAAGTCATAGCAAATTTCGAAATGACTTCTTGGACAATCTAGAAAGGGTTGGTACTAATTTGTACACTTGAATTTACTTGTACATCACCATACTTGCCCTTTTATTCATGCAGTTTTAATTTCATAATAATACAAAATTTCAAAGGTGATAAGAAAACTACCTTGGTGTAAGTATATCGCCCAATGATTTCTCACGTTCACAACCTATAGTGTAAATGTGCTTTGCGTATATTGTGTTATGTTAAAGACAACATAGGAGGTTCAACACCATAAAACTTAATTCCATGCATTTAAGCTTGCATAATTGTTTCTTGTCAATGCATTGTTAATAAATTATTTGTATAAGATGAAAAGAAATGAATCATTTCGTGTTTTTTGATATTGCTTATATAAAAGTGGCACCAAACATTAACACTATGCTTATAACTCATTATGTGAAAAGGTATCAACCCTTCGGAGGTATTAATTCTCTTTATTATATTATAACAACTTTGGTTCACGCATTCAGTTTCCCGCGTTGTTTTGTTGGTAAAATATATTGTATATAATAAAATGGAATTTAATCCATCACCCG